AAGACTGTCAAAATCATATCAATGCTATAAAATTCTATAATAATATACACATGCTATCTAGTTATTTTCTATATGTATCAAATCATTATTTTAATCATATGCTCAATATATCAGATATTCAATAGCAATATAATGGATCAGTAGTATCAAACAATATTAGTATCTATATCAGTAATAATAACGATTAGTGGCATGAGCAGTAAAATAATATAGTAATAGTAAATTCATGCAATAATAATAAATTTGTGCAATAATAGAAACAATATCTTAATACTATGTAATTCAATAGTCACTCTAAATAAGTAAGAAGTTCTTACTATTACGATATTTTTCGATAATAACTAATTAATAGTCGATAATTGTTGGCTCAATAAATAAAGTCATCATTTTTTGCCCGTTGACACAGTAATAACTTCATATAACTTCTAATCATTATATTATTATTGTATCGTTGTATTAGTAGAGGATAACACAAATCCATAATATTTAAGTGAAAGTTCATCGGTCCACCATCATGTATAAGTCAATTAATCTCCAACCAACTGGTCAACACATATTTACATGTCTTTTATACATACACATTATTATCATAGTATTATATTAGTAATAGCGATCAGCTATTACTCAATCACATAACGATATTCATTTCTAATGCATTGCATTAAAATAAAATATAATTGAGCTTAATCAAAAAGTACAAAAATATCCTAACGATATGCAATAGAAAATCCTGCTGAGCATAAAACTCATATTTTCATACATTAACTAAATTAATAGAAATCATATATAATAATATTTTGAAGCTTTAATTAAACTAAAGGACTATTTTTAAATGTCAAAAGTTTGACTTTAATATCAATAAAATATATTATTTCATTTAAAAATTTATGATGAAATCAGTATGCAAAACAAACACTAGATAGTTCCAAAATTCTTATTTGTACTTATAGATATGAATTTCTTAATAATTTGCACAAGTTCAAAAAATTTATGAAAAATTAGTGTAATTAAATTACTATAATATCCATGTTATGATGAAGAATTAAGGTTTGTGATAATTCTTGAAAAATTATATTTAACTGGATCAAAATACGAACTATTATAAGTTATCCACATTAAAACAAAGTGAAAAAAAAAGAGCAACCTTATCTCACACTGTTATAAGATTGGTAATAGCCCAAATACAAGCGAAGAGAGCCGTTCATTTTTTATCCATTGCAGAAGAGATAACCTATAAATAAAATCAAATGATTTCCACAAATAATTGTTTGGCTTAAGGGAGCCCATGATTGAGTTGCATTTGATTAACAAATTAGCTTCTTATTTGGTGTGAGTGTGGAGCGAATTATTGTGTCTGGTCGCTGGATGTCCGGACATCCAATCCGGTGATGCCACGTCACCCAAATACACTGTGTCCCGGTATATTTTGGTGACATGGCAACACCGTATTGATGTCCGGACGAATCCGGACACCAGACGTAATAATTTGCCTGAGTGTGGAGGGAGATGTCTTAGTAGTTAGCATCATTCTACTGATGCATTCTATATAAGTTCATTTACACTATGAGTAAAAGAAGAAAAACTCACGAGATTTTGGCTTCATTTGGGATAGCTTTATTACTACTTTTCATAGTAATATTTTAATACAATTTTTTTTAAAAAAAAGCAGTGAAAAAATAGTGATAAAAAACTATCCTAAATGAAACCTGTCTAATTAAAATTTTGAAATGAAATGTAACATATCACTCTTACATTTTAATCCGACAAATAGCTCATGAATTAAAAAGATCATCTTCAATATTCACCTTTGAATTAGTCCAATTTACCCACTGTTGCTTAGCTTAGTTGGTGGGCGAGTACGGCTGGAAACCCTTCAACCAGTGCTCGATTCCCCTCGAGCGGCTGCACCTCTTAAGTGGGACTCAATCAAGTGCGGGCTAGGAGGTTTCTAGGGTGGGTGTCTCTTCTAGGTCAACTGAGGAATAGTCACGCCACCAAGTGCCCTTTCAAGGAACTTTTATTTGGTCCGGTGAACGTACGTAGAGCTACGTTCGACCGGCACTAAGATCGCAGGCACAAAACGAGAAATATCAAGCAAATACCGAGCAATACCAATAATAACGAGAAATATCATTATGTGTAGACAAAATACCGAGTAATACTGAACAATACCGAGCAATACTTAGTAATACCAAAAAATACCGGTATTTTTTGGTAATACTCGGTATTGCTCGGTATTACTCGGTATTGGTCTTCCCATAGTGATATTTCTCGTTATTATCAAACAATACCTAGCAATACCGACCAAATACCGAGCAAAAATCAAGTAACAATCCTTTGACCGAATGTAGATCTACGTCCGGTCAGAGGTCGTAATAAAAGTTCCCTTTCAAGGATTGCAGCGGGTGGATACATGTTCCAAAAAAAAAGTCCAATTTAGCCCATTTCTATGGTCTAAATTTCAACCTAGCAACAAAAATTATATTTTAACTATCAATTTGTAAAATTAGGAGTTAGTTTGCCATTCAAATAAATTTCAAGATATATAAATTTAATTTTGTGGATACTTGGAATTGATAATTTTGAACTGAAAATATAATTGATAGATATTCATTGTTATGAAAGAAACAAAAAATATATTTTTTTCCCAAAAAAAAAAAAAATTCAGCGAGCCGTTTGAATAATGAACAGGAAAGTATTAATGATAGCCGCATGGTTTAGTTGGAAAGATTTTTTTTTTTTGGAAAATGTTTAGTTGGAAAGTTATATCGGCCTTATTGCTTGTCAGACAAATTAAATCCTAAAATTTTAGTTGCTCACCTAACTCTGGACTCTGACTGCTGGTTTCTGTTTTTTCTTTTTCAAGAATTATTATTTTTTAGAAGAACAGTGATAAATCTTTATGGCACTATTGGGATCAGATACGGATCATTTTTCCTCCTTTATGTCCTTATTAAGCGTTAAATTTCTTAATTAAATCAAATAAAAAAAAATTCATTTAATACTTTAGAAATAAAGTTTTTTAAAATAAAGATCGAATCTAATACAAAGTTACAAACATAGCCTGGTTCTAAATTAATTTTTTATTTAAAACTGATATGTCATCAAAATATTATCTTGATCGGGCATGAATCTCGATGCAATCTCGATGCAAAATCAAGTTGGAAACTTTTAAAATTAAATTTGGGGCCATCCGAACTCCGATTTCAGCAAAACTTATAGTCAAAATTGAGCGTCTCGAGAATACGAACCCAACGACACTAAATCCAACCCAATCCGAGCCCAAACGGGTCCAAATCAAGGGTTAGATGCGCTGTTGGAAGGTTCAAACCACAATTTGGATTACCAAACATTTTTCAAACATAACGTGCTTATAGTTGAATCGAGCGGCTCGACGAGACCCCAAGATCACTGAATTCTGATATCACTAAGACATTCAAATGTCCATCAAATGGTCTGTGATCAAGGGATTGATCAACATCGGTCGTCCATCCAACCACTCCCAATTTATCATTGATTTCTCATCTATTTACATGACATGCCACTCCATAAATTTATAAATAGAGCCCTCATTTCTCTTGAAAAGGGATCCAAAGCAAGAAGAGAAGAGAAGGAATAAGAGAAGAAAGAGAAGGAAGAAGCTCCTCGACCACCACGGGAGTTTCGTCGAATCACCGTCAGAGTTTCGCCGGACCTCCACCTGAGGCCCTCGCCTTCGCCGGACCACCACATGAGGCCCTCGCCTTCGCCGGACCAACACTTGAGGCTCTAAACTCTGTCAGACCATCAACTAACACCAAAATTCTGCCAAGTCACTGTCGGACTACTAATTGACGCTCCAACTTCCAAGTGACGTCATATTTAACACTAGACTTCAACCATACGGTTGATAATTGTAATCTAATCGCCCTCTAGGACGAGTCAGCCCACTGTACTTAAATCAAATTCAAGTGAAATCTTTTCAACTGGGCTAGGCCCCATGATTTTTTCCCTTTCTAGGATTTTCCATGTAAAAAATCTTGTGTTCTCTGAGTGTGAGCTAGATATTTGTGCAACGCTACGACTTAAAATTACAACTCTATCGCAGCGTATATTCTAGCCGCAACAAGAACCATATTTTTCTTTGCTTTTCAAAACGCAATCATAATTTTTATTTAGCTACTGATCTTTCATTGCTTTTTATAGAGTTTTTTGTTAAGAAGTTTTCATTTGCAATGACTTTCTTACTACTTCTTAAAGCAGATTTCTAGTATAAAATTTTTAATTTTTGTAATATAAAGTTATTTTAAGAAGCAGTAATTAAGCCGTCTCAAATAAAATCAAAGTTGCTTTCTATAATAACCTCGACTTTGTTTGGGTCAGTTTTATTACTGTTTCTTAAAGCAGCTTTCTAGTATAAAAATTAAAATTTTTGTACTAGAAAACTAATTTAAGAAGCAGAAAAAAGCCGTCCCAAACGAAACCTAATTGAGAAATTTTTGTACTAAAATTCTATTTTAAGAATCAATAAAAAAATAATCCCAAAGGAAGCATTTCAAAAAAGCTACTTTCACTTTCTCCACAGCAACTTTAGTACTTAACAATCATCTTTTTGAAAAGTTGCCAAACAAACCCTAAAACTTATGTCTTCCATCTACTAACTTAACCTTATTTTCTTTTAGCTTATCCTTAGTCCAAACTCCAAACCATACAATGAAAATCCACAGAGGCACCGACTTCCTAAAATGGGAACTTTTGCTCATTTAATGTTTGATATATATTATGCAATATTAAGTTTTCCTCAAAAATAGATAAAAATTTAAAAAATCACTGTAGCTGACGAGAACAAGAACTGGTTTTTTAATGGAATTAATGAATTCCTGCAAAAGTAACTGTAACAAAACACAAATTCATATTTTATTTCAAATAATTTCACTGAAACAAATTGACTGTTAAGTAGAAGAGCTTATAAGCTGAGTACAGACCTGCAGCTTGTCTCCTCTACTTACAGTTCTTTCGCTTCTCTCTTGAACTTATAAAGTGACTTCAGTGCAGCTGTGCAGTGCAGGTGCTCTTCTACAGGCACAGGAAGTTAGCGAGCGAGAGAGAGAGAGATCACTAGAGGTAGTGAGAGAGAACAATGAGAAGAAGAATTTCTCTTGAAGTCACACATCTTCTCTTAGCACTATGCTATTGCTTATGCCACCGCACTAAGTTAACTGTAGCAGCTTTTGTTGTCAACCAAACCATGAAGCCTCTTTTCCCAGCTGTTATTTTGTTTGGAGATTCCATAGTTGATGCAGGAAACAACAACAACCTCAAAACCTTGCTGAAGTGCAACTTCCCTCCTTACGGAAAGGATTTCATCAATCATATTTCAACTGGGAGATTTTCAAATGGCAAGATTCCTGGTGACTTCATAGGTACTCCCTGCTGTGTCTGTTGGTTGGGAGCTTTTGCTCGCAACCAGCAGTTTTTAGATTCGAAACATATCGTACTTGGGCTTTGTTTGATATGACTTTCTTATTGCTTATTAAAGCATTTTTCTAGTACAAAAATTTTAATTTTAGTACTAAAAATCTGCTTTAAGAGTAGTAAAAAAGCTATTCCAAACGAAGCCTTAATTTTGCTCTAACCACTTAAGTTTGAGAAAAATTTAGATAATTATATATAGCATGATTGTTTTATATTTGACTTCTCTTATAATTATGCATATTGTTCTTCTTTAAATTTCTCCCTCACTCAAGCTCTTAGTTCCAACACTAACCCTTTTGCTTGTTATTTCTTTCACATGTTCATGCATTATGAATTTATGCTTTGTATTTTGGAATAAATTTAAATGAAAGAGAGATCAAAGTTGGTATTGATATAGAGGCTAAATATATTTTCAACATAAAAACTTTTTTGTCTGTAGGAGTAATCACTTGATATTTTTAATTACTTAGTACTTCCAAAACTATTTGAGATGACTTTCAGGGCAGAGGGAAGGCTCCCCCCCTCCCCAATTAAAAATTTTAATTATTTATTATTTATTATTATTTATTAATATAAAAGCATTGTTATTTATTTATTAATTATTAACTCTGATTAAATTATAACTCTGATTAAATTAATTATTAACTCTGTAGTGTTATTATTATTTATTATTTATTAATATAAAAGCATTGTTAAATTATAACTTTTATCTTTTTATAACTCTGATTGATATATAAAAATAAATTATAGTAGGATAATTTGTTATAATATATTAAAAAATTTTATAGTTTGATTTAAAATAAATATTTGATGGTATTTGATACATCATCACAAAATTAGCTTGATCAGGCACGATAATTAATGAATCATTTAATACATCAACTAATTTTTTCCCCCGCTGGCTATAGCATTATTTTGCCGGCCTCTCATTTTCAATTTTAAAAAATACTATTTAAATAAATTTAACAATAAAAACTTTCTTGGTTACATATTCAAGTAAAAAATAAAAAATTAGAAATTTATTTATTTAGGATGAATCTTATTTTGGCATTGTCTCGTGGCGGTGTTTCCATGTCTTTATCCATTTAGAAATTTTCTGACCAAATTTTTTAGTACCATATATTTTAAAATTTTAAACTTCTTTGAAAAATAAAAATATTAATAATTAATCAAGTTTTATATTACACATTTTAAAATAAATTCAAGATTTAAAAATTTTTAATAACTAAATTAAAGTTTCATTTGGGACAATTGAAGTTTTATAAAAGTTATTGTAAAACTTCTATGAAGAAATCATTTTTTTGAAAATTATTGTAGAAAGTAGTTTCTAAGAGAAAAATTTGTTAAAAACTGTGAAAAAGAAGAAGTCAAACGAAACCTTTTTTTGGAAATTATAGGCTTAGCCTTCGTTTAGGATCATTTTCTTCTTGCTTTCTAAAACAGTTTTCTAGTACAAAAATTTCTTAAATTTATAAATTTTGTACTAAAAAATTGTTTTAAAAAGTAATAAGAAAGCCGTACCAAAAGAACCTTTAGTCAAACTAAAACTTTGATTGCAATATAAAAAAATAAAGTAATAAGAAAACTGTGCCAACTAAGACTAAATCAGAATATTTCAATCTATTTTTATTCTATTTAATAATAAAAAAAAATCAAAATTTAGAACTTTTAGCACATTTGAATATTTTCTTTTGTTCTAATATTGATAATTTTGTTCATAAATGTTAGCCTCAACCTTGGGAGTGAAGGAGCTCGTACCAGCTTATCTCAGCCGAAAGCTTGCAGATGAAGATCTCCTTACTGGAGTCAGCTTTGCTTCTGGATCTACAGGATATGATCCCATTACCTCTCTTGTTGCAGTACTCTCTCTCTCTCTCTCTCTCTCTCTCTCTCTCTCTATCTAATTTAAAATATATTATATTAAAAAAACTCTTCATTGTTATGGTTTAAAAGTTGAGGTATTTATGTAAATTTGACTATTTAAAAGGGTCAAATTGATTTGAGGATTGATTCATGATGAGATTGATACATTAAATGCTCAATTTGAAATGTTTTCAGTCAAGTAAAAAATATTTTTGGTTGATCATAATAAAAAAATAATTTTAAAATATTTATCTTCATAAAAATTTTCATTTTTGACATATGACATCCACAATAATTTATGCAATATGTAAACTTACGATAATGATGTAAAATATAAAAAATAATTAATTTAAATAAAAAAAGCACACATAATTAAAGTCGAGTGCCTCTTTTCATTAAAAATATTTTCTTTTTTTTTTTCATTAAAAATATTTTCTCAAACAATTTTTTTTGGAAAGATTATGCATATATCATTTTATATCATGCTATTTATATATATAACAGTCAAAATTTTAATATTGCATATCTATTATGAGTATTATCTATAGACAAATTTAATATTAAATATGTTATTTATTTATTTCATTCCTATCACCCATAACACCCTATAAATTTTAATATTTCATTTCTTACATTTATATTTGATCTATAGATGTTAATCTATAGATGTTAGACATAAAATATTAAAAATTTGAGTATTACATAAAATGGTATGTATTTTTTTTTTCTTTGAGCTAAAATGGAGTGAATATTTCTCCATCCCTTTGCATGTCTTACATTCTCATAATTTTGATAAAAAATGAAAATTTAAATATTAAATTAATATTTTAATTAAATGAATGTAGTCAGTTATATCAATGGAAGATCAGCTCAAACTATTTGGCGAATACAAAGAGAAACTCAAAGCTGTAGCAGGAAAGGCGAGGGCCGATAGCATAATATCTGGCGGCTTTTATGTTGTGTGCGCCGGTTCTAACGATCTCGTCAACACTTACTTCCCCACTCTGTTTCGGAAACTGCACTACGATGTTCCTTCTTACGTCAACTTCCTCGCCAGTAAAGCTTCTGATTTCGTCCAGGTAAACCATATATATTTTTGTACGTGAACTTGGTCTACCTGTTTTTTTAGCTTACTCTTCTAGCTCAATTTGAGTAGAAATTATTATGTGCGGGAACGTTCAGTGGCGAATCAAGATGCGTCATGTCATCCGGTATACAATATCGATACACAGTACAAAAATGACATGGCGTATTCTGATTCGCCTCCGAACAGTGTCTGGTTACCGCACAAAATAATTTCACCAATTAATTTGAGGGTGGTATGATTGTTTCATATTTTGGAGTTTTGTTATGTAGTTTTTATCATTATTCGAAAATTATCTTACCAATTTCTTTATTGCATTTCTGTTTACATCCATGCATTAATTTTTTATACCATTTTTTTCCTTCATTATTGAATTAGGGTTTGATTTGTGTGTTTGTCTTGTTATAAAGATTATTGTGAAACTATTATGGTGAACAACTTTTTAAAAAGTTGCTGAGATTATTATAAATATGTTTTTTTTTTTTTTTGAAAAAAGAAATTGGATAACACAATTTTCACACCCAATTATAAAAGCAAGTTTTCACCTTCACAAATTTATAAAAAGCAGCAAGAAAGTAGTAGAAACCAATAGCTAAACATAAGTGTTGTTGCAGTCTTAAGAGCAAAACAATAAAAATTTGTGCATTTTAGTATAAAATTTTCATTGCTTTACTTTTCGTATAGGCATCACAAATTCATTTGGTTTCTGCTTTCTTATTACTTTAAAAAATATAATTATTTATATATATTAATATGAAAAATAAAAAAAATCAATAATATTCATAATGAAATTTATTTCCTAAATAGATATATCTGATAGTTCTTAATTAGTCTCTCTCTCTCTCTCTTCTTATTGCAGAAATTATACAAAATGGGGGCACGAAGGATTGGATTTATAGGGCTTCCTCCTGTAGGATGCTTGCCTTCACAAATGACTTTTTCAGGAGATATTTTCAGAGAATGTGTAGAAGCTCAAAATGAAGCAGCTTTGCTCTATAATTCCAAGATTAGTGCAGAAATTAAAAGACTGTCTGCAAATTTCAAAGACTCGAAGCTTGTCTACCTTGATGTCTACTCCATATTGATTGATATCATTCAGAGGCCCTCAGCTTATGGTAATTATATTTTATTTAAGTATTTTTTGATAAATATATGCTCATTAATTATCATTAATCTTATCTTAATTAACTATGTTGAAGTACTTTTCATTCATTCTTAGTGAGTTTTACGTAGTTTTTTTGGCTTTTGTACAAATGTTACTGTTCATTTTTTTTCGTTTTGTCTAATGATATATATGCAATATGACATTCATTTTCCATAATATTGTTAGTTGTGGGGTTTAGACTTTTTTAATCATCATGGACAAGATTTTATTTTACATGAAGTTTTAAGTATAGTGAATTATTTGATCTCTATATGCCTCTGAAAGTATGTTTATTTAAGGGTTCGTTTGGGACGGTTTTTTTAATGCTTCTTGAAGCAGCTTTCTAGTACAAAAGTTTTAATTTTTATAATAAAAAGCTACTTCAAAAAGTGGTAAAAAGTCGTTCCAAACGAAGCCTAAGTCTTATTAATTTGTCTTTTTTTTATGGTATATGATATCTTTTGTAATTTGTAGTGACTTGCTCATACTTGTCATTAGGTTAAGGGCACAGTTTCCTAAAAATTAGTATCCAAGCGAGGTTTTCAGAAGCATTATAGACATGATGTTTGAAATTGAAAATGCTTCACAAAACTTCTACCAGCAGTCAAGAGCAGGGGCGGAACCAGCCTTAAATGTTAGGGGGGGGCAAAATTATAAAAGAATATATATAACAAAACTCAAACAAATTATTAAATTGAAATAAAAATTACAAGCTTTGCATTCTATTTTGCATTTTTTGATAATGTTGCATTACAACTTCATTTGGAACCAAATCAAATACTTCTTTTTCAATATATGGAACTAGACAATCATTTGCCTAGATGCTGCAGAGTTCGCTAGTAGAAACTAAAGAAAGCATAGCACCACAGCGCCCTTGATTTGGCGCCGCAGTGTTGTGTTGTGCCGAAGCGCTGCGGGTTTGAGCGCTGCAACATCGTCAGATAGACAGATGATAGAGGTTTGAGCGCCGCAGAGCTTCGAGGCAGAGTGGACAAATTTCTTTCTTATTTTTATTGAAGGGTGGCGTCCCTTGGTGTATGGTTATTGTTTTCTCTTGTGTTTAGTGTGTGAGACTAGCATAAGAGAGAAGAGAAGCAATGAGAGAGCAAGAGAAAAGAGATATTTGTACTTATTTCTCCCCATTTTTATGATGGATTTCTTAGTGTGGTGTGGCTCCATGATTTTTCCCCGATTTCATATTTCCCACGTTAAATCCTGGTATCCTTTTACTTTCCATTACTTTTCTATTTTCTTGTTTGTTTTATCACTTCCATCTCCAACATAATGAACATCCTTATCTTAACTCATTAACAAATTTAAAATATCCTCTATCCATAGACATTTCAAAACATGATATTAGACACGCCACATGAGAATGTCCTTGTATAATTTTCTTTCTAAAGAGCAACTCTCGAGCATTTCGTTATGAAATATAAGATGAATATTTTCTACAAATTGTGAAGCCTATCATGTTATCTTTGCATATTCATGCCCATGCATCATAATATTTTACAAATAACTCAAAAAAAAATTGATTTATTGAACTCTAATGCTTATGTTGCAGGATTTGAAGTCTCAGATAAAGGATGCTGTGGAACAGGAGAGTTTGAGGCTTCAATACTATGCAATAATAAGTCACCTATATGCTCTGATGATACTAAATACATATTTTGGGATAGCTTTCACCCAACAGAAAAAGCCTACAACACTATAGTAGATAAACTTCTCCAAAATGACTTGAAAGATTTGATCTGAATGAGTATACTGTGTTTCTTTCTTCTGCTTATGGCTATTTCTTTATCAAATTCTACATGTAGTATATACTGGGAGGGCATGGTTATAATTAACAAATTGTATTCTGTTATGGATGAATAAACTTAAATAAGAACTTTCCTTCTGGGGAAATTATTTAATTTGCAATGCAAATTGATAAATCTGAGAATTTACAATATAAGAATCCTGTATTATATGAACATCTTTATTTGTTCGGCATCTTCAGTTGTCAATTTAAAGTGAGGTGTTAGAGAAGTTTTTAATGGCTTGCAATGCAATCTTGCAAAGAGATAATTTATTCATTCATTGCTTGAACCCAATAATGATTAGATTTGTTGCATTTAATGGCTTCCTAATATGATGATGATTCCTTATCAGCTTCCAGTAAAGGATTTTTTTTCTCATTGAAGACTACGTTTTCGTTTGGGACGGCTTTTTTACTGCTTCTTGAAGCAGTTTTTAGTAAAAAAAATTATTTTTTTAACTAAAAAACTACTTAAAGAAGCTGTAAAAAAGACTATCCTAAACGAAGCCTACATCTCTAATTATGATGCATTTTTCCTCTAGAGTTTCAATACATCATAACTCTAGAAGAATATACCAAAAAGATACATCTCATTGCTCTAGCTTGTAGCTTGTCATGTCTGATATGTGCATAAGCAATACACCCGAAAGCTTTGAGGTTTGCTTTTAATCAAGAGTATGTCCAGTTCATAATTGCATTGGAGGCTTGAAGTTCAATGCTATTGAAGGTGATAGAAAATACTTGAAGATTTCAAGGAAATCCTATCAATTTAAGAAAAATAGCGGGAAAACTCTTCCAAACACCAAAGGAAAAATAAAGAAAACATGAATTTTATTACGATAATCAAACTAACGTACGGAAGAAAAATAACAAGATACAATTGATCCTCTATTCGATAGGAGGATCTATCTCTCCCAAATCTCTAGACACAGCTAGAACCCAAAAACTTAAACCTAAGAGATCTCAAATTTCAGCTAAATTCAAGATGCTCTAGCCATAGGAAAGCAAACTATTTAATGCATACAATCCAAAAGGAAATTCTTAAACAGTCCCTACATTCAAATTTCCCTTCCAAATCTCTCAAAAATCCTTCCTAAAATGTTCTACGGAAACTTGCGGTCCAATCGGCATACGCAAATCGTGTTTTGTTTACTAAGCTAAGCCAATCTCTTATTACTGATCGATGTGGCCCAGCCTTAAATGTCATAATATGGTGATATCACTTTCAGTTATAACCACATGTAGAAAATCCAATAACTCTATTACCATAATTTGCGTACAGGATATCTACCATTTCTGGATGAGTTTGATTTGGATCAAGAAGTATAATGATAATTCTTGTATTTTCTTTATCCCAATCTTCTTCAAGCGACTAAGCTATTTCCATTCTTTCTGTCCTTAGTTTTTTTTATTTTCAATGTATTTCATTGAGCATGACCATAGATTTAACTTCAATCATTGTTAGAATTTGCTTACTATATAGCATTGTATCAACTGTATGCTTATATATAATATCCATCTTTCTCTTCAAGTTTGGCTATTTACATTTTTCAAGTCAAAATTAGGCCTCCTTTGGGATGGCTTAATTTTTCCTTTTCTGTTTTGAAACGGTAAAATTATTTTTCGGTTGCTGTTTGAAAGTGGCACTTTTGTTAAAGTAATTTTTTTAAAACTTTATTTTTTTTCTAATGTTTTCAAAAGTTTTTTGGTATATACTTCTTCATTAGAAACTTCCATTCTCTCAAATAAAATTTTAAAATTAGAAAAATATTTTTTAAGAATAGATAAATTTAATTGATTTTAGTCTTTGATGTTTGTTTGGAAATAATTAGTTACAATACAAATATTTTTAAAATAATTAAAAATTTGTGATTTTAATTTTATATAAAGAGCAATTGAAATAGACAAAGTAGACAAGGCAAATGTCATTCGGCCCAAGTGGCCAATGGTTTTGGTCTGCATAAGGAAGCCCACCTTAGCTAGCTTTATTGGGCTGGGTTTGGTTCTGCCTAATAGAGATATGCTTAGTGCAATCTATGGCTAAGAGTTTTTGAAGTTTGATGGCATGTCACTTAGAGTTTTCAATTATGTATTTGATTAAATCATTTCTTAATCAAAATTTATATAAAATGTAAATATATTTAAAATTATTTTAAAAATAAAAATATTAAATTATGAATCTAATAATAGTGTAGCCAAAATCTCCTACTTAATTTGTACCGAGCTCATTACTGTTCGGTACTCAGTGCTTCACAATACCGAGCTCGATACTGTTCAGTATTATGAATACAGAATGTAAGCTGTGTCAGTTGTCCGAACCCAATAATCTCTCGAACTTATGAGCATAACATTTATGCCATACAAATTGGGAAAAATTTCAGCTATGAAGGTGCTAAAAACTGGAACATTTGAACCCTCCCAGGAGACATGGGCAGGGGGCTGATCTAATAATAGTGTAGCCAAAATCTCCTACTTAATCACCTATGGAAAAAAGTACGGTAAATTTCATCATCATCAGATATATAGGATTTAACAGAAAGGTGAGAGATGGACGGAGGAGCAAAAACTTCAACAATGGCTTTGCGATTACACCAAAGATCTCAAAACATGAAAAAATTGCAGTTAGAAGAAGGCACATTGAAATAAATTGAGTCCCTGATCTTAAGGGCATTAGCACATAATCATTTCCAAAATTTAGAATTCTTGTGCTTGGAAGGCACATTATTAATATTTATGAAAGATGGAGACTCAAAATTTTCATTTTTGACATTTGAGTCAATAAAAGCAAATTCACACACGCATAACATATACAAGCTTCGAACAGCCAAAGCTCGCAACCGACAGATCGAGATGAGTAGCTTTGGAGACTCTTTGTGATAGTACAAAATTACGAAGATAATAAATGAAATATACTATTAATATCTAACTTAAAGAGGCCTCATAAAAATCTATCAGAGATTATCGATCACAATTTTTGTTCAAATTAAGGCGACAAATTAGGCCATGATCGAAATATAATTAGAATGAATTTTAAAGCTCCTAAATCAAGATTAATAAAATGTATTTTAAAAAATTCATTAAATTTTTTATTGCAGCCATCCCAATGAATGATCATCACAAATATTTCACTCATATCTTATATTCCCATCATATTTTGACAAAAAAGACAAACTATTTGGCAAATACAAAGAGAAACTCAAAACTGTAACAGGAAAGGCGAGGGTTGATAGCATATTATATGACAGCTTATATGTTGTGTGCGCCGGTTCTAACGATCTCGTCAACACTACTTCCCTCACTCTGTTCGGAAAGAGAAATTATTGTGTCTGGAATCCGAATGCATTCGGATTCCAATCACCGCATGCCACGTCACCAGGTGCACTCCGGAGCCGAGTGCTTGCAGTGACGTGGCACATGGTGATTGGAATCCGAATGCACTCGAATTCCACACAATAATTTCTCGTTCAGAAACTGCATTACAATGTTCCTTCTTACGTCAACTACCTTGCCGGTAAAACTTCTGATTTCGTCCAGGTAAACCATATATATTTGTGTGATCCTAGGTCTATCTTTTTTTTTCAATTACTCTTCTAGTTCAATTTGAGGGTGGTACGAATTTTTCATATTTTGGAGTTTAGTTTTGTAGTTTTAGCATTATTCTAAAAATATTATATTGTTTACTTATGTACAATGAGTATAATAGTTATTCTAAAATTTAAATTTGAAGAGAAAAAAATTTCGGAATATCCTAATATAATTTTTTTATTAAAATGGGCTCAAAATCATTCAAATAAATTTTAAAGTATTTGAATATATATATATATATATTCATCTCAGGATAAATGTGAGAGCATTAAAATATATACTGAGCGACTTTTTCAATTAAAATTATAAATAAACATATAATTTATTAGAAGAAGAAACAAATTAATGAACATATTTGTTCACAATTAGGTAAGATATGAAGAACAAAAATATTTAACTTCTATATGGGACAATTTTTTGGCTGCTTTTCTTTTCAATAACAGCCACAATTTTACACTTTTTTAGAAATTTTTATGATGAAAAATTATTTTATGCAACGAAAATTACTAAGTTATTTTCTCCATAACAATTTCACAGTCAACTTTATAAAAATTTACAGGCATTCCAAAACAAATACTTAATAATATTAAAACTTGTTACATTATATACATATAATGTATGAATTTATTACATAAGCTTATCAAAAGTACTTATGCAGAGATTACATATAGTGGTGGGGAGACATAGAATTGGAGTTTTTGGGCTTCCTCCAATAAGATGCTTGCCTTCGCAAATGACTATAGCAGGAGATACTGTAGAAGCTCACAATCAGGCAGCTTTGCTCTATAACTCTCAGATTAGTGCAGAAATCAAAAGGGCCAGCTGAAAATTTCAGCAGCACAAAGATAGCCTCAATACTGAGAAAAATTATTCTGTGCGGAAGCGAAACCCATCCGGATGCTTAAGAGCGCGGTTCAGTTCCGCAGTACCGAGCATCACGGACGCTTGGTACCGTGGCTCGGTATGACTGACGTGGCTCATTCTGATAGGTATCCGAATGTAGAGCTGCGTTCAACATCCAAATGACTTAATGTGATCAAATTGCATCATTATAGGAGCATTAACAGCAACATGGTTGACAAACTATGTGGTGCTCATTCATAATTTGACAGCTTTATATTGTAGAAAATTACTCTCTTTGTTGTGAAGTTTAAACAAAGTGCTTAGCCAACTCTTCCCTCCTATATCTTAACAGGTTGAATTTCCAGCTGGTTTGGTAGGAAAAGGAAAAAAATAGTAATAAGATGAGAAAAAAAACAACCAGCCCCATGCAATACAAGTTACCAAATCAAAAATTAATTACAATCAGGCAGCCAAATCTCTATTTTTGAGAAAGATTGAGCTATTTATCGTTAACTGCAATTTTCAGTAACCTATACTGTTTTCTATAAATAAAATATATTAATAATTAATGGAGGTGAGTGAAGACAAGTGAAGAAGACTTCAACAGCACACAGTTTAGTTAAGCAAGTTTTCCCCTTCTAGAAAAAAATCATAAACAAATAATATTAATATATTATGATGATGGAATGATACTGGAGTATATGAACTGTAGATATCAATAAATATGCAGGATATGAGGCTAAATCTAACCAAGTTACTGTTTCTCAAGGCATTGAAGACTGTTGGGAGTTGGAAATGATGGTAATAAGCAACAAGAGAGCTGCTGCCTTCAGTCTGCTGGCATTTGTGGTTTTCCTTCATCCTCTTCATGGCCGCGCCATTGGTGCAAACCAAACATCTCGGCGACGGACACCAGCTATTATCATCTTCGGTGACTCGATCGTAGATCCAGGCAACAACAATGTTATCCTGACGACAATTAAGTGCAACTTCCCTCCTTATGGGAAGGATTTTGTTGGTCACAAAGCAACAGGAAGGTTCAGCAATGGCAAGATCCCTTCAGACATCATAGGTGATTTTCCTAAGTTGCTAATTTCACTGGAGGATTGAAGATCGAAAAATTTTAGATTAATATATATATATATATATATATATATGAAATTAAAGTGATTTTCATTTGCACCAAGCTTGAAAAAAAAATGAAAAAGTTATGCTTGGTTGGATCAAAATCATGCAAAATATGAATTTTAGTCGATCTTACCACTAAGTTAGATCAGCTAGAAATCAGATTGTTAATGGTCCAAAATTTGATTTTTACCTTACTAGCTCAAGCTCATCTCTCAGTTATCAGTCCTTATAAAGTACACTAGACTTCAACTAACATCATCATTTGTCTTATCCCAACTATTTTGACTCACTAAATGGCGTGTAAGCCCTCAGTTAACACATTAGAATGATTGGCATAGATGCTAAAAATGAAAAAAAATTGTGTATATTTAATATAAGATGTTATAATTTCATTTCAGCTTCTCAGTTAGGAATAAAAGAATACGTGCCTGCATATCTGGGGACAGAGCTATCAGCCTATGATCTTATAACTGGAGTAAGCTTTGCATCTGGTGGCTGTGGATTTGATCCTCTCACATCTCAGCTAGTGGTATATTTCATATAATTATTGCTAAAATATCAGATAGCAAATTTGAGAAAAATTCTTATACTCATAAAATGTAGCAACTTCTCTTAACTTCATATATGAACAACAGTCGGTGCTTTCCATGGACGATCAGCTAGATCTGTTCATCGAATACAAGGAGAAGGTAAAAGCAATTGTAGGAGAAAAGAAAGCCGCATACATAACAAACAATTCTGAATATCTAGTAGTCACAGGAACAGATGATCTGGCAAACACTTACTTCACGACACCATTTAGGAGGCTTGAGTATGATCTCCCCTCCTACATCAACTTCACAGTTCAATCAGCTTCAACTTTCATTCAGGTATCAGACTTAGACTGATATATATTCAAATTTCTTAACTTAACGCACATATTTGGTTGCATGATTATGGACTTATAAACTGTAATATATATATATATATATATATATATATATATCATTGCGAAAGTAAGGTGTGTTAAAACTAGAGAAGATGGAGAAATAACATATCAGAGAGCAAGTAGTAACTCCCGAAGATTTAGTTGAAAACAGACAAATGACTTTGATTGGCATGTGCAACGAAGAGCATCATATACATCAATAAAATGGCAGATTGAACAAATGTAGAATGATTAGAAAGGAAAAAAACGGATAAAGCAAGGTAAAATGATTAAATTGTGTAAAAAGACACATAAAATAAAATTAAATGCAATAAAACACTGAATAAAAACAAATGAAAAAGATTCAAAATCATCATCATCATCATTAACTTTATATCAATTTTTTTGGTCAAATTTATGAATTTTTATTTTTCATTCATTCTTGCTTAACGACTAAATGTTTTCTAAGTTAAACAAATCATTTAAAACAATTTTCATCCACATAGTTTTAGGTCTATGCTGCTTTCTTTTTTTTAATCTTCTTATACTAATTTTATATACTCACGTAATAAGCGTATTTTTCCTCATAAAGAAACTTTAAATTGAAAAAAAGCTAATGCGGATAATTAAAATGAGAATTCAATATATGTCAGCAAATACTTGATGGAGAACTAACTTGGTAGTGTGAAGATCATTAAAGACTAGGGTATTACTTAATATGCACATAGTAACACTAATCTGATACGTGCAAAGATTACCTTCAATATAGATGGCATTGAACAACATGTGAAATGGAGGTTCCAGATGCTTTCTAAACTTGTGTAATATGACGGGATAAAATAACAGCCAAGATTACACTAAGCACAGCACCACTTAAGCCACCATTTTTTCCTTTCTAACTTGCTCTGTAGACGTATAAGTTGCAAATTTCTGCCTTTTAATTTACCATTTTCTCTCATCCTTGACAGAAATTGTACCATTTAGGGGCACGAAAAATTAGAGTTGTGGGTGCTCCTCCAATAGGATGTTTACCATCACAAAGGACACTTGCAGGAGGAATTGAAAGAATATGCGATCCAACCTACAACCAAGCTGCGACATTCCTCAATTCACAACTATCAAAGGAGATGCAGAAGCTTAACAGCACTTTACCTAAATCAAAGATCCTCTATATTGATATGTACACCCCTTTGCTTGATATCATCTTACACCCTTCTAACTATGGTAAATTGTCATTTTATTACATTTACTTATCAAGAACTATCATTGCGACGGAACCAATATCTAAAACTTCTTTTCTAATTTGTACATCCAAATAACAGGATTTGTAGAATCCAAGAGAGGTTGTTGCGGTACAGGAACTTTAGAGGTCACACTAACTTGCAATAGTTTGACCACCTTCATCTGTGAAGATGCATCAAAATATGTGTTCTGGGATAGCTACCATCCCACAGAGAGAGCATATGAGATTTTGATGACGAAACTTGCCCAGAGATACGGTGTATTTACAAATTAAGAATGCAAACAAACAAGTCGTCTTTTGTTATGTTGTTAATAGTCCATATAGGACACTATCTTAGTTACAACCACAATCATGATGTCAAGATACCCCACAAATGAATATATCCAAAGATTATTAAGAATTTTTCAAGTTTTGGATAATCTGATTGAATAAATAATTGTAAGGGAATGACAACATACTCCATTCATAAACATTATAAAGGGTTTGAATGTCAATAAAACATGAATAGAAGGACTACGATCAAATAACTCTGTGCTAATGCTACCTAACACATAGCATATTATAAAGTAGGCTATGTATCTCTCCTTTTTTTTAACAACTTAGGCAGAAAATTAACAAAGTCAAATTTGGCAACCATTTCTTTATGTGCAAAAACATTTATTGTTGAGGACTCCCTTGTAGAGAATATCTTAGATATTCACCCTTATCCACCCTCTCCAGTTAAAAATAGAAGATTTAATTAACAAACAATTTTTTTTTTCTTACAAAATATTAAGATGATAGATTTTATGAAATGGAGATGATATTTTTTTTTAAAACAAAAATATTTTGAGATGGATAATAGAATAGGAGGTCTTAAAGAATATGTATTTTATTATTATAATTACTTCCATATCAATGCTAAATATATATAAATATAATTAATAAAAAAGAAGATGAGGAAAAGATGAAAAATAAGCCATTATGAATACAACAACAACAACAACATCAAGCCTTTATCCCACTACATGGGGTCGGCTACATGAATCCTTTTTCTCCATTGTGTCCTATTAAAAGTCAAATTCTCATTTAAATCTAATAAAGAAAGGTCATTCCTAATATTTTCTAACCAAGTCTTTTTAGGTCTACCCCTACCTTTCTTAACATAAGTCAAATCTAATACCTCTACTCTCCTAACCGGGTCATCGCAAGGCCGTCGTTTTATGTGATCAAACCATTTAAGGCGACTTTCTCTAATCTTATCTTCTACTGGAGCTACTCCAACCTTTTCACGTATATGCTCATTTCGTATCCTATCTCTAAGGGTAAAGCCACTCATCCACCTAAGCATCCTCATCACTGCCACACTTAACTTAGTATTATGCTTCTCTTTTAAAGGCCAACATTCAGCACCATAAAGCATTGCAGGCCTCACTACCATCTTATAGAATTTTCCCTTAAGTTTGAAGGGTACATTTCTATCACATAACAAGCCCGATGCATTCCTCCACTTCAACCATCCAACTTGAATTCTGCTGATAATATCCCCATCTATTTCACCATCACTCTGAACAATAGATCCAAGATATCTAAAACGTGTACTCTTATTAATGACTTGATCGCCCAAAGTCACAATCCCCTCACTAGGTCTATTACTACTAAAATTACACTCCATATATTCCGTTTTAGATCTACTCAAGCGAAAACCTTTAGACTCTAAGGTTGACCTCCATAATTCAAGTATACCTTCAACTCCCTCTCTAGTCTTATCAACAAGAAGAATATCATCAGCAAAAAGCATACACAAAGGTACATCCTCTTGCAAATGTCTAGTGAGAACGTCCATGACTAAAGCAAAAAGATATGGGCTTAAGGCTGATCCTTGATGTAACCCAACCGAAATGAATGAAAAATAAGCCATTATGAATGAAAAAGAAAAAGGAAGAGGAAAAGAAGAAGAGTAGAAGAAGAACGACGAGTAAAAATAGATGAATAGGGGATGAAGTGAATTACAATGATGACAAAACAATAGTTCCTCCATCCCCTATAATAAAACTACAATTTGAGATATGAACCATGCTTTGACTCAGCTGTATTTAACATTTTTGCTACTCTTTAAATTAATTGTATTTAAAGTATCTAGCTTTCTAGAGATGGTACAGCAGCCAAATTTACACTGAGCAGCATCGCCCATCCCCATTCACTCATAATATTACATAAGAGGTGGAAGATTGAACATGCAGAAGTTAACTTGGAAATATTGGTTAACACTGACAAAAGTAATCATGCAATTTTTTTAACACATGATTATATTGTATTTTAAAAGTATCATTCTTAAATTGATTTTAAATTATTTTACACAGCATACCGCAAAAAAGAATGGAAAAACTCGCCACAAAACATATATCCGCAGATGTGTATATCCAATTGATAAAGTCCATAGAGAACTCACAAAAAATAGATGAACTCGCATAAAAATTTAAAAAACAAAGGTAAACATGTGTAAAGCCTTGAAATTAAGCTTACAGGATTGTGTAATCATCTAGTACAAATGATGGATGAACTTTCCCACAAAGGCCTATCCACATGTTTTGGAAGCCCACAAATTGACTTTAAAAGAGGGTAAAGACTTGTGTGAGCACCAAAAAGGATGATCTTGCACCAAAGCACCGGTGTACAATAAAAATGATGGAATAACTTGAGTAAAAGTATTTGTACACAGGTGAATACATCCATTGATTGAGATTATAAGTTGTATGTACCAATGTACAACCCAAAAAAAATGGATGAACCTCAAAAAAATTGTAAACAGGCGTTTGTAGTTTTGAATTTGAGTTCACAAGATTGTATGCAGCTCTATACAATAAAAGCAACGGAGGAACTCACACCAAATACTTCTCTAAGGACATGAATAACTCAAAAATTGAGTTTTGAGAGCTGTACACACAGTTGATGTAGGCAAGAAAAATTGCCTACGAATACAAAATTTGCAAGTCTTCCAAAATTTACCTTCTATAAGACGAATATATTGAGAGAACGACTAAAATGATGATTTAATGACAAAAACTACAAATTATAGATGATATGATAACAAAGACGTGTTAAAAGTCACTTAAATACTTAATATATTGATAATAGATAAGTTGAGAAGAAAGATATAATGGAGTGGTAACCATGGAGAGAAGAAATAGGTTAGAAGTTCCAAGACGAATTCATAGAGAGGGGAAGAGAAAGGGGACTAGCTCGCAAGCTATCCAAGAGGAAACCCGTAGGTTTTTAACTCCAAAAATCACTCCATAACACTTATAAAACAGCCCAAAACAATCCTATATATAGGAGGGAAGAAAAAGCCCAAAAGCCCACAAAACAGCCCTCATAAATTGGAGAAGAGGAATCCCAAAAGTCACCATAAATTAGGAATTCCAAAAGCCAAATCAGTCGCCCCCCCTCAAGCCAACCAGGAAAGAGAAGTAAAAGGCAGCATTTAAATTACGTTGGGAGCCCAATAGCTAAAAGAAACCAATCATAAATATATGCAGGAAACGAACAATCAGCCAGTGAATTTTGATTGCATCAATTCTCCCATGGAGGAAGAACCTCATCTCCTGATGAGTTTGATTCAGAATTTTTATTGCTTGACCGATCCAATTCCTCAATCAAAACAGCATATTTATGTTCAATCAATTCTTTTGCTTGATTAAATTCAGCAAAAAGTACCTGAGTTATTTTCTCAAATTTCTCGTCACATAAGTACATAAATATATGTATCTTGTAAAGTTCATTTTGAATTGAGTCTGTTGAATCTCCTTCGGGTGAGAGACTGATGCCAGATGGAATGCCAACTTCATGAGTACTGGGCAAAGGTGTTTGGTTTTCAACATTGGCAGGATCGTATTCATCTTGAAAGTTTATCGGCTCTTGACTTGAGATTCCCAAAGGATGATGGTTTGGATTGCTCATTATTATAAATATATATTTTCTAAAGACTCACAAAAAGACTTGCACACAACCTAAAGCTCTGATACCATTTTGATGTAGGCAAGAAAAATTGTCTATGAATACAAAATTTGCAAGTCTTCCAAAATTTACCTGCTATAAGCCGAATATACTGACAGAACGACTAAAATGACTATTTAACGACAAAACTACAAATTATAGATGATATGATAACAAAGACATGTTAAAAGACACTTAAACACTTAATACATTGATAATAGATAAGTTGAGAAGAAAGATACAATGGAGTGGTAACCATGGAGAGAAGAAATACGTTAAAAGTTCCCAGACGAATTCATAGAGAGGGGAAGAGAAAAGGGACTATCTCGCAAGCTATCCAAGAGGAAACCTGCATGTTTTTAACTCCAAAAATCATTCCATAACACCTCTAAAACAACCCAAAATAATCCTATATATAGTAGGGAAGAAGAAGCCCAAAAGCCCACAAAACAGCCCTCATAAATTGGAGAAGAGGAATCCCAAAAGTCACCATAAATTAGGAATTCCAAAAGCCAAATCAGCACCCCCCTCAAGCCAACCAGGAAAGAGAAGTAAAAGGCAGCATTTAAATTACGTTGGGAGCCCAATAGCCAAAAAAAACCAGTCATAAATATATGCAGGAACCGAACAATCAGCCAAGGAATTTTGATTGCATCAATTGTACAGCACCAAAAAAGGATGAACTTGCACATGTTTAAAATTTACTTTACATAGTTATACACATTTGTATACGACACAAACGATGGGAAAAATTGCCCTACAATACATGTACAAATGTGTCTCAGTCAACTAATTGAATTTACAGAGCTACACACACATTTAAACACAAAAAAAACTGATGATATTGCTCAAAAACAATTGTACATGAGTGTGCACACTAGCGTACCACAGAAAAGATGAATAAACTTGGCCCAAAACATATCTACATGTGCATTCCAAATTTCCAATACTCCCGAAAAAACAAAACATCGAACCGGTAGGTGGGTTCCACCGCGAGGAAGACCAAGGGGCATTTCGCACCTCTAAATAGTGAGAGGGAAATCCGGGCGAACAAGAGGCGAAGTCGAACGACAATAAAGGATCAGGAGAATGACACATAAAGAGAGGAAGAAAAAAAGGGGCAGTTTCATATGCTTTTCGTTCAATTCAGAACAGAAAACGGAAGAGGTCGAAGGAGACAGAGAGGAACCATTAGACCCAGAGCTAAAGCCAATTGCGAGCAGTCAAGATGTCCGCAGCATGATTAATTATTCTATGCAGCCAGAATGCACCACGTCGCCTCTTGCTTTGCACCGCTCGATACTATGGCTCGGTATTTCTAACGTGGCACATTCTGATTGGTCTCCGGACGACTTTCTACATCCAGTCTCCGGACGACTTTCTGCATCCAGTCTCCGGACGACTTTCTGCATTTGGTCTCCGCACAGAATAGTTCGTCCCGCAGGATAGAGTGACCGAGAGAGAAAGGTGTGATGTAAGGTAATGATTTATTGTATTAATCGATTTTTATTCTTAAATTTTGGTTTATGTATATATAAGAAATCCTAGAATGTTGTTATTAGTATTTTTAGATAATTTTATGTAATTACTATTTTAAAAAATATACTTTTAAATATTATTTAATTAATATTGTTAAAAATAAGAATGTTTTGAATTAGACAATTCTATTCATAATAATTAAAAATAAAATAATTTAAAAGATTACTAAACTATTTTGATATAGCTAATTCAAATTTTATAATCATCAATTATGATTTATGCACTTAAAATAAGCTTAACAATTAACATCATAAAATAATAAGTTTAAATTATAATAATTAGAGATGTATATGATTTAGATGTACATAACATGATTATTCCATATAAATGCTTTTATATTTTCAAATAAAGGAATTAGAATACTGACTAACAGGTAAAAGCTAATCATCTAAATTTGATGTGAGTAATCATATTTTTAATTTATGATAATGATATCATTTCTTTACACAGCTCACATTGGCCTGTTGGTTGGGAGCGTAACTACCAACTAAGAAGTCTTGAATTTGAGTCTTGTGTATGTGAAGTATTTGTGAGTATGCTTTAATTGGCCTAATTGTCCAAAAAAATCATCTTTTAAATTAAATGCATTAATCACTATTAAATTCATTAATCAATTATTACTGTGACTAAATTTTAATTTAATTATTTTATAAAAAAGATTGATCATATTAAAGACATTGCAATTTTTTATCAGTACTTAGTGGTTATCCATCGAATGCATTAAAATCTTCAAAATTGAGGATTCCTGTTGCATAAGATGAAAATTATGATTTCAATATGTAAAGAGTTTTGAATGGTTTGGTTTAAATTCATGATCTCTCGTATGTATTGAACTATTTTAAATGGTGAAATACACGAGCAAAATTAGATTTTTGCTAGGGCTTCTAAATATATTGTTTGACAATCCTCAAACTTTTCAAATGCTTAGTGGATGATTAATTTATCTTAAAATTTGATAAAACTTGATTGTCATGCAAATCATATGTCATCGAACACAATCGATAATATGAGCTTGAATTTTAAAATTATATAGAGATAGATAAAAAAAATTGTATGAGAACGCACATTTTTTTATTATGGAACTTATCGTAAAAGCTTAAGAATTAATTTGATTTTTCATTCAGATTAATTTATCAAGTTGTAGCTCGAATGGTAAATAAGGTTAGAGAGACTTGCCTTAGATGATTTGGTCACATAAAATGTCAGCCTTCCGATTAACTAGTTAGGAGAGTAGATGTATTAAATTTAATTTATGTTAAGTAAGATAGAGATATGCTGAAGGTCATCTCCAACCGAACTCCATACCCATGTTTGGCATCCGTGAACTGCTCCAATCGAACAGAAAAATGCGATCCATTCTCGCGTTCGTGAACACTGAGAAGCCAATATTGGCATGGCACTGTTCATGAACGCATTTTTAGGTGGAAACAGAGAAAGCGGAGGAAAGCGGAGGCAAATAAAGGCTAGCATGTGGAGCTCGGTTGAGAAAGAATATATACGAAATATTTTTTTTGTGAGTTAAGAAATAGAGTTCGATTGGAGATGAATTACTGCATTTTGAAGTGTTACTGCATTTTGGAGTGGAAAATAAGTTTTTCAGTTGAAGATGGTCTAAAAAGGCCTGGTTAGAAAGTATTAAAAATGACATTTTCTTATTAGATTTAGATGAGAATTTTATTCTTAATGGAACACAATGAAGAAAAAGGATTCATATAGCCAACTCCACGTAGTGGGACAAAGGCTTGCCATTGTTAATTTAACAAGTCAAGCATAGCTCAAACCAAATAAGACACCCATCACCCAAGTTAGGATCAAAATGCCTCACTATGGCAGCAATAACAGCCATATGATTGACGTCTCCTCTTGTGATCATGCATAATGTGATGGAATTTTATAGCAGCAAAGTATTCTCTTTTTTTTTTAAAGTTTACACAGAGTATTTGGCCAAATCTGCCCCCTTTCTTAAATGGTTGAACTTCCAATCGGTTTAAGCAGTAAAATGAAAAAGTTAATAAGAGGAAAAAAAACCAGCACCATGCAGTACACGTGCTTAAATCCTTTTTCTAAGAAAGGTAGATTTATTTCGTAACTGCAATTTTCAGTGACCTATACTATTTTCTGCAAAAATTCTTGAAGAATTAACAGCGTTGAGTGAAGATAGGTGAAAGAAGACTTCCACAGCACACAATTTAGTTAAGCAAGTTTCCCCTTCTAGAAAAAAACCATATAGAAATATTATTATGGAGTGCTAATGCAGTATATGAAAGGAGCCGTGCATGGATGCCAATAAATATGCAATATATGAGGCTAAATTTAACCCGCTTACCGTTTCACGGCACTGAAGATTGCTGGGAGTTGGAAATGATAACAATGAACAACAAGAGAGCAGCTGCCTTCAGTCTGCTGTTCTTCCTAGTTTTCCTTCATCCTCTTCATGGTTGTGCCCTTCAGGCGAACCGAACATCTCCCGGGCCGCCGGCAGTCATAGTTTTCGGTGACTCTGTCGTTGATCCAGGAAACAATAATGCAATCCTGACAATAGTTAAGTGCAACTACCCACCTTATGGGAAGGACTTTGTTGGTCACAAAGCAACAGGAAGGTTCAGCAATGGCAAGATTCCCTCCGACTTGATAGGTGATTTTCATCAGGTTGCTCATTTGACTCAAGTGCTGAAGATTCACAAAAAATAAGATCAACTTTTGGCTCAAATCAACCATGCATTGAAATTAAGCAACAAATCATCAAAAGAACCATGCCAGTCTCAAGTCAACCTTTGATTGAGCCGGATTTGAATCTTAATTCAGCTAATTTAAGATCAAATATATTATTATTATTATTATATGCATTTTTTCTATATATTTAAGATTACAACCAACTGATATTAAATTGATTTTGATTTGTGCCAAGCTTGGGTCCAAAAAGACGAGTTGGATCTAGCTTGAACCAAGATCAGAACAAATCAGAGTCTATAGCTATACGCTTGACTAGGCTCAGGAGTATGTCAAATAACTTTTAGTTGATCTTGAACAAAAGTTTTGATCAATTCAAAATCGGACAATGACGGCCTGAATTTGCTTATGCTCAAAATCGGACAATTTAGCCTAAAATGGCAAAATTGTGAATATTAATATTATTATGTTTGTTCACAATAATTTCATGTCAGCTTCTCAGTTAGGGATAAAAGAATACGTGCCAGCATATCTGGGGACAGATCTATCATCCTATGATCTTATAACAGGAGTAAGCTTTGCATCTGGTGGCTGTGGATTTGATCCTCTCACATCTCAGCTAGTGGTATCTTTCGTATACTTCTTGCTGAAATATCAGATAGAAATTTTCAAAAACTTCTACCATTAAAATCTAGCTACTTCACTTAACTTAAACGAATTTCATCATCAGTCGGCAATTTCCATGGACGAACAGCTAAGCTTGTTCATGGAGTATAAGGAGAAGGTGAAAGCAATTGTAGGAGACAAGAAGGCAGCATACATAACCAAAAATTCAATATATTTTATAGTCACAGGAACAGATGATCTGGCAAACACTTATTTTCCCACACCATTTAGGAGGTTTGAGTTTGATCTCCCCTCATACATAAACTTTACTGTTCAATCAGCTTCAACTTTCATTCAGGTATGAGAATTAGATTGATATACATATTCATAGTTCTTAATTTAGCGCACATATTTTGCTGCATGATGTATGGATTTACAAACTATATATATATATATATAATCTCTGATATAAAATTTCATTCCATCCTCCCCACTTTTTGCCACACTAAACTTTTTTATGAAATAGTACTTAGTTTATCAAGGACTATATATGAGTGTTGAGCAACTAAGAGTACTTGATAAACAAATTTAGTTTGGCAAAAAAGAGATGTTGAATCTAGAAAGCATGGAATTAAATATTATATCAGAGATGATACAGAGAGTAGTAACTGTTAAAAATGAGGTTGAAAACAGACTAAAATGACTTTGCCGTAAGGAAGAGCAAAATATACACCAAAATTCTACATTCCTATGCCAATAACAATGACTTACCTTATTCCAAACAACATACAATTGAAACAATATTACTTACAAGAACCTCATTAGTTTACCATTTTCTTTCATCCCTGATAGAAATTGTACATCAAAAAATAATACCAACCTATGAGGAGAACAATGATTTTATTTTATTCCAAACAACATAAAATTTGAACGATATTATTTTCAAGAACCTTCATTAGTTAATCATTTGTTCTCATCCTTAACAGAAACTGTACCATTCAGGAGCACGAAAGATTAGTGTTGTGGGTGTTCCTCCCATAGGCTGTTTACCATCACAAAGGACTCTAGCAGGAGGAATTGAAAGAATATGTGATCCAACCTACAACCAAGCTGCAATGTTCCTCAATTCACAGCTATCAAAGGAGTCGGAGAGACTTAATAGCACGTTAACTAAATCAAGGATCCGTTATGTTGATATGTATACACCTTTGCTTGATATCATCTTACACCCTTCTAAATATGGTAAATTGTTATTTTCTTACATTTATTTAATCAAGAACCACCATTTTTGCAAGAGAACCAAATTTACCTAACTACTTTTTTCTAATTTGGTCATTCAAATCATAGGATTTGTGGAATCCAAGAGAGGCTGCTGTGGAACAGGAACGTTTGAGGTCACACAAACTTGCAATAGCTTGACCACCTTCACCTGTGAAGATACATCAAAATATGTATTCTGGGATAGCTACCATCCCACTGAGAGAGCGTACAAGATTTTGCTGAGGAAACTTACACAGAGATATGGTCCATCAATCAATTAAGAAGGCAAACAAGCAAGTCAACTTTTGCTATACTAGTATTTTTATAGTCTGAACAATATAATTAACCTTAGTGAACCATAATCCTGATGTGAAAATAGAATACATATGAACGAATCCTAATATTGCTATAAATTTCACATATTTGGATAATCTGATTCAATTAATGATTCTAACAGAACGAGATCATACTTCATTCTTAAACAATAATATGGGTGTGAATGTGCATGAAGCAATAGTATAAGCACTGAGATGAAATAACTCTCTATACTCATGTTATCTAGCACATAGTAGATTATGAAGAAGGTTATGTATCTCTCTTTTATTTTAACACCGGGTACACTAAATTACCAGAGTAGGGAACAGTGCTACCATGTTCAAGTTCATTAGTTTTTTTTTTTTATCAAAGTTAACTATAGCTTGAATATTATCTGAATTTTAAAATATTATTTAAGCTCTTGAGTGGCTTTACCGTTAGAGATAGGATACGAAATGAGCATCTACGTGAAAAGGTTGGAGTAGCTCCAGTGGAAGATAAGATTAGATAGAGTCCCCTTAGATGGTTTGGTCACATTAAACGGAGGCCTTCTGATGACCTGGTTAGGAAAGTTGAGGTATTAGATTTGACTTATGTTAAGAAAGGTAGAGGTAGACCTAAAAAGACTTGGCTAGAACATATTAGAAATGATCTTTCTTTATTAGATTTAAATGAGAATTTGACTTTTAACAAGAAACAATGACGAAAAAGGATACATGTAGCAGACCCCACGTAATGGGACAAAGGCTTGATGTTGTTGTTGTATTGATTTTCTTATCGAATTTGAGTTTTAAAAGTTTTATTTCATCCTAATTATGGTTATAAATGCTAATGATTTGAACATCTAATTTTATTATTAAATATAAATGTATTGTTTACTTTCCATCAAAATTAACATAATTCACTCATATTGTTTTGAACATTAGTGAAGTTTAAATGTGATAGGAAATACTTGATTTCAAGTATTCCCTAATCGCTTTAGCAACAAATCACGAAGCAAACTGCTGTCCACAGCAGGAAATCAGCCAAAAACAGTGGAAAAAGAGGGAAAAACTGTAGAAGATGAGGAGAAAAGACTTGTATTTCACTAGAAGACAATGAAAATAGCAAAGATACAATTTGTTCTTCAATTCGAGAGGAAGAACGTACTCTCCAAAGTCTCCGGCGAAGCCAATAGCCAAAAGCAAAACCTAGATCTCAAAGAGAAAACTCAAATTCAAGATAACCCTAATTTCCCCCCCCCACTCCTAATTATACAAAATAATCATAAAGGACAATAATGGACTTCCTAAAACAGCCTCCCATTCAAAAAAAGAGAGAGATTCCACAAGTTAGAGATTCCTTACCTTTGAACACCAAGTGAACCATTCACGCTCCAGTGGTAGGAATCCTCCTTTGAATGCTTCTCTCACACTCTCTCCTTGACTTTTCTTTCAATAGGCACGAAGATCAAATGGCAAAAAGATTGGGTGGCAGTCTAATTTTGGACTATATATAAAAGACCGAAAAACAGCCCAAAAATTGCAAGTTTTCAATTCTGTACGCTGTGGATCGTCCTGGATGATTTTACTTAAAGTGCCAGAAACGAACCTAATGTAAATTGGGTAACGAACTATATTCGTACATGCACATCGTACCCGTACGAACTATATTTATCTGGTACGAAGCGGTTATTTCATAGGTCGGTTTCCAAAAAATTCTACAGGACGTAACCAACTGACTTAAGTCGGTTCAGTTCGTCCTAGGACGAACAGGTTTCGTCCTTGGATGATTTTAAACAGAGAGTTTTGTCCAAGGATGAAAATAATTTCGTCTGTATGATCTCATACAGAAGTTTCATCTCTGTACGAAAATTAATTTCGTTGGTACACTGATACAGAGAGTTTCGTCTCGGTACAACCTTATTTTTTGTCTGGACGAACTTGCGAGTGGAGAATTTCGAGAGTTTTCGTCTAGGGACGAAAATAAATTTCGTCCTGTACGAATAGGACTTAGAAAATTATCTCCTCGTATGTTCAGTTCGTTGCTCTTCTGAGGAGCTAATTGACATGATCGTCCCGTACGAACATGGTCGTCCCGTAGCGAACCATGGTTCATCCGACAATAATTCACAAAAAATTGTCCCCAAAGATGTGTTGTGATTTTTTTTACTCAATTACAATCACTCCCTTTCATGTAAAAATATTATTTACAAATGAATAGATTGATGTCTTCATCGCTTGGAGTTGATTTTCCTGAAATGTTAGTACGCACTAGAGCAAAAATAAAAACTTCTAAAAAGTGTTAGGAGATATATAAAAACAATAATATTTGAAATAATCAAAATAATATAAGTTGCAAGAATATAACATGCAAATAGCAACTCTCTCTACAGAGGTGGTTCGTATGGTCAGCCACATTGATGTTGAAGATGATGATGGTGATGAAGATGACAAGCATCACAACCACACGTACGTGTTTATCGACGTCGCCACAGGGCTAGATCTATTGCCAGCTGTTGACCTCTGGATTTTTCCCAAGCTTGGGCATGGTGGTTTGAGTTGACCAAGTCAACCAAAAATCACGCCGGCCAATCCCGTCGGCGGCGAGATCCGACGAACCCGAGGTGTTTTCACATTCCAGGCTGATTTCCGTTCGATCGAGGGAGATTTGGAGCTCGACATCAACTAGAGAAATATTCTGCCACTTCAACAAATCCAATGAGCCAAGAACGCAAAAATCGGGCAGTTAGTCTCTCAAAATCCCTTAGAATAGATCAACAATGCTTAGGGTTAAATAACTTTTTGAAAAGTTGATTATTTTCCAAACGGTCACTTCCCCATAATTTCTGTAGCATTACTAGAGTCTACGTTTAAAATTTTATTAAAATTCCATCAAGTATTTTGAGAGAAAGAGGCATTTTCCTATTATAGGGTTTCAGTTCGGTTCTTTAACTGCATGAAATCGCAGCCATTGATCTTTAGATCAACGGCTGTAATCTTGCTGTTCTGTGTTTGGGCCGAACAACAGATCGGTGTTACTGTGTGCCTACGTGGATTAGTGGCTCAATCATTGAAGTGAACAGCGGGTCCAATCCTCGTGCCAAGTGTCGCATGCTGATATTCTGGATTTGAAAATTTATTTTTAATAGTTTTAAACTATTTTTCTTTGTAAAATCATAATAAATTCATTTTTAGGCCAAAAAAACGTGTAACCACTCAAATTGCTCGTATTTCTCGGCCTCTTTAATTTAAAATTATTTTTTGATTTAAAAATATTATGAAATTTTGGGGAATTATTTAAAAAATAGTGAATTTTTTTTTAAATTATTTAAAGTCTTATTTTCATATTATTATTATTATTATATTTTATTATTCTTATTAATGATTATTTTACTGTTACTATTTTATTGTTATTATTTTGACCTATTTCAAACATTTTTAGT